GCACACACACACACAACCTCGTGACAATATGCGTTTTGTACTGCAGTTACACAGCACAAAACGCATAAAAACGCATATAGTCAAGGGGTTGGCTGTGTGTGTCTGTGTGTGTGATCAGAAGCGAGTAAACTTTGCCACCCACTTTCATCTCAGCAACCAAGAAAGCTGGGAAACTAAAATCCTCCAGTTTCAAGATGCTTCCCCGTACGCGCCTAGGCCCTGCGTGTCCCCACTCCCCCAAAGAAAAAAAAATATTTCGGCAGGAAACGTTTTTGCGAACCAGGCAACGTACGAAGCTGAAACTTTGCAGGGGTTTTCTCTCTGCATGGACAAGCTAAAGATTTCAAATTCACCTGTCGCGCACGCTTGTGCGGGGTGTACGATCACGTTAAATTTTGCAACTTGGTGCTGTGCTAACTCGAAAATTTGCAGAAAACACCGGCTGAAATTTTGTCAGCATGTTTGTCGCCCATATGGAAAATCGTGCACCTAAAATGAGTACCGATTTGCACTTGCGCCACGGCTAGTGGCACTTCAAAGATATTTGTAGCGAAGTGGATATTTCGCTTGCCGAATAAGCTGCGAGGCTGAAAATTCGCTAGGGTATTCTACTTTCAGTTGCGGTCTTAATTCTGCTTGGAGGTGAAATTCCCTGCAGGTGGGAGCGAGAAATACTCAACTTTACCGGAGAATCAGAAACAAGTGCGTTTTGCAGCTAACCACCGCAAATATGTAAATGAACATTTGGTTCATTTGCATACTTGGATTTTTTGACGAGGGATCGCTCTAGCAATATTTCTACTTTTTAGCCAACTGAAAATTTGCTTTTCTTGAAAAATCGAGCATTTACCGAAACCCAGGCTGGAACCCACCAGGCAATCCGGCGCGATCATGCGTTTTTGCATCAAACTTGAAGTAATTAGGTCAACTACATTCTTCACACCTACCTTGTGCGCTCAATACCGTAAATCGTCGTAAATTTCGCATGAAAGAAAATGAACAATTTTTGTTTAACGACGTTTTTTGAAAATGATCCAGCTGTTCAGTAAGTAATTCTTCCGCCAATAATTTAAGTGCCCGTATACGAGAACCATGTGTATAAGGAGACCGAATTTGAAACCTTCAAGTTTTATATGGACGGGGAATATCCTTCTAAAATCTCAGCTTTCCAGTTTTTTTAGTTCCCGAGTTAGCCATTTTCCCGTCCAAAAATTTCACGGGGCCGTACATGAGGACCGCGCACGCCTGAGAGCTGAATTTGGTAGGTTTATGTTGTACTTATGCTGAGAACAATTTCAGTCCCCCAGCTTCTCTGGTTCCCAAGCTGGCGATTTTCGTGCCAGGAACTCTCGTGGAGTTGTACGCGGGAACTACGCATACTCGGGGGTTGAATTTGAAATCTTTGAGTTATTTGTGGATGGGGGGGCGTAACCTCAAAATTTCAGCTTTCTATCTTTTCTCGTTCCCGAGTTATCAATTTTCCCGCCAAAAC